TGACGGCGCTGTACTGGATCGATTAATCACAGGTCTGCGTATCGTAGGAGGTCTCGGCGATGCCGTCGGAAGGGATCTGGTAGAGGTCATAGTTCGAGTCACAGTTGAACCCAACGGAGTAGAAAGAGACGGAAGGCGAGGGTCAGGGAAGGTAGAGCATCCTCGTAGTTCAGCATCAACTTGAGTGGTGTCGCAATTCAAAGCGTGTATCATCCCACAGGTAGTGAGGAGTTCATTGATGTAGCGCACTCCATTATGGATCGCTTGGGTCGCCTGTCGAATAGCTGAGTCCAGGCCTCGAATCTGAAGCTGAATATGTGGGGAAGTAATGTAGTCCATGAACGAAGGTTGGAGGATAGCAAAGCGAGTGCGAAGAAGGGAGGTAGCAAGAATCAGCTCAGACCATGTAAATGAAGCATCTCTCGATGTAGGATAGCCTGGGCCCTCGTCGTAATGCCGTCCACAGGATGGAGACCAGCCGGAGAAGGGAACATGGCGAGAGGAGGAAGGCGAGAGGAGGAGGATCAACTGAAAAGCTAAGGCTCCAACAGGTTCCAATGAACCTCAAAAGTACTTCGGTCGCTCTGACCACGTTGAGGCGTTAAGCCAGCTTGGACCGCTGCGGTCACGTAAAGGCATAAGCCAACTTGGAATTCCAAAGATGGGACACAAATCATCGGACGTACGGCCTAGGCCACCTACGCCCGCTCTGGGCATCTACATCTCCGGGCAGGGGAGATAACGACGTACACCCGTTCAACGGGTCCACGGGAGGCACTCCGCGGGCTCATCCCGGGTTGGCACGAGGCCAAACACACTTGAGATATTGTGTACTGAACTGAATGCGGTGCCACACGCCGGCCTAGGGTTCCATTTCCTAAGAGTACCAGTAAGGACCAACGGAGCCTGGGGGTCTGGAAGAGGAAGTGAGGCCAAAAGCGTAAGGTCGAAGGCGACGAACAGGTCGAAATGACGACGATCGCTCATGTCTGCAGCAAGTGAGGTTCTTGGCTTAGCCTCATGCCATTCGGAAAAATGCAGGTACGCTGGAGTGGCCAACTCCAGTATCCCATCTTGCTGCCTAGCTTTGTTAGACCAGGTCAGCAGCAAGATGCCCTGGTCCTTCTGCTGTAAAATAAACAAATGCAAAAGCATCCCTATGACTCCAAGGGTGACACACACACATGTACATACACACCCCTGCCCCCCCCACTTTCTTTCTTGCGCTTTTTGTCGCTTCTTGGGCTTTCTCTCAGGCTTTTTCGGTTGTTCTTGAGGCCCGTTTCCCTACCCCAGTCAAGGGCTATGTATTCACTTTTTACTACTCCTATCTTTCTCTCTTGCCCTTTTAGCGCTGCTCTTTCTGGTTTTCTCTTGTTTCTAAAGCTTTTTAGGCGCCTATTTAGGTCCTCCGCGAGAGCGCCGCAAAGCGGCCGAGTGTGTATCACACTCTGTTTCTAAGAGTTTTCCACAAGCAGGGGCGTGTGACACTCTTATCCTATCACACGCAACGAAGCTGTGGATAAGAGTGGGAAGGGAAACTTGGCCAGTTTCCTGTACCTGCGACAAATTGAACTTTTGATCACGCTGTCCACTTTTTAAGGTTTGCTTCCATGGTCGTTGTCATGACAAACCCCAAAACATTTCCTTCCGCCACTTTCAGCCGCTCGTGAGCTGTTGGTGAGTCTCTGCAGACGTGCGCAAACATTTGTTCAACATTCAGTTGGTTGCGGACTTTGCCACCTTTCTGTTCCCTCATTCATTTCTTCGGGGAATTGATGCAACTGCAAACCCATTGTCTAAGTCTAAGTGTGCGCCGCTGCGTCGTCCCACTTGGGTACACAGTGTGATCCCCGCAAGGCGGCGCCGCCTTCATTCCGGAGTACCGTGTAACTGATTCAGCTGTTTTCTGCATGCGTTGGATTCTCTTAACTGACTTTCGTCTCACTCACTGTATTCTCTAAAAATCCAAACCGCAGGGTCCACGGAAATCCGAAGCCGCCGGGCATACGGAGAATTAACCCCGACGTGTTCTCTACCCAAACACCCCAACCCCCCCCTCCCTCTAATTAGGGTAACAGAGGGAAATGGTACTCGACACACTTGTGCGTCGGTGCCTTTCCGTCTGTCGCCCCTTTTCTAGTCTACTCTACCCGGGCGGTGTAAGACTAAAGTCCCGCTCCCTAACTATTGCACCTAATTCACTTTGGCTAAGCAATCAGTAACTCTAGAGTGCTAGCTATTCATACACGCACACGGACACACACACACACATGTACATACACACCCCTGCCGCCCCCACTTTCTTTCTTGCGCTTTTTGTCGCTTCTTGGGCTTTCTCTCAGGCTTTTTCGGTTGTTCTTGAGGCTCGTTTCCCTACCCCCGTCAAGGGCTAAGTATTCACTTTTTACTACTCCTATCTTTCTCTCTTGCCCTTTTAGCGCTGCTTTTTCTGGTTTCCTCTTGTTTCTGAGGCTTTCTAGGTGCCTATTTAGGTCCTCCGCGCGAGCGCCGCAAAGCGGCCGAGTGTGTGTGTGTGTGTGTGTGTAACCCTTGGAATCATAGGGATCCTTTTGGATTTTTCAGGTTTGTTTTTCAGGTTTGTCTTTCTGTTTTGCTTCACAGCAGGGGGGCTGGTTGTTCATGCAAGTACCAGCCCAACGAAGAGGCTTGCATTGAACACTGATATCGGTGGGGACGCTCACCGACGTACCTGCATTTTCCTTTTCCGGATGGCATGAGGCTAAGCCCAGAACCTCACTCGGCAAACAAGTACGACCGTCGTCACCCTTTCGCTTCGTCGTCGCCTTGAGACTTTGGCCTCTTTTCCTTTTAAGACCTCCAGGTTTCGATGGTCCTTACTGGTACTCTTAGGAATTGGAACCCTAGGCCGGCGTGTGGCGCCGCTTTCAGTTCAGTACACCCTATCCTAAGTGTGTTTGGCCTCGCGCCAACCCGGGATGAGCCCGCAGAGTGCCTCCCGTGGACCCGTTGAACGGGGGTACGTCGTTATCTCCCCTGCCCGGAGATGTACGTGTCCGCAGCGGACAGTAGCTGGCTCATGCCACAAGAACTCAAATTTTGTCTCATCTTTGGAATTCCAAGCTGGCTCATGCCTTTACGTGACCGTAGCGGTCAGAGGTGGCCGCCCACGGGCAAGCCGTACGTGGTCGCAGCGACCGAAGTTTGTTCAAGGTTCATTGGAACCTGTCGTAAACTTAGGCGCACACACAGCACGTACATGTTCAACGAGGCTTGCCTAGGTTCTTTAATGAGGTTTGGGTTCATCGGTTTCCGTCCCCTCCATTTGTTTCCCTTTTCATTCTTTCCCCTTCGCACACTTCTTTTCCTCTTTCTTTTCATGTCTTCCCTTGCTTCATGTCCTTTCATCTCACTCCTTTCGTTCTTTTGCGCGTACAACGGTCCGGGCTTTAGTGTGTACGCGCACATCTACGTCCAACTCAGGTTTCAGGTCGCCCAGGTTTCGACAATGGGGGTTCATCGGTTGTCCCTGTGCATTTGGTTTCTCTTTCATCGCAACCACACACACTGTTGTCCCGTCGTCTTCCTTTTCATGTCTTCATCCTTTTGTCCTTGCTGCGCGCACATTTGCACATTGGTCCTAGCCTTAATTTTGCCTCCCCTCGGGGAGGCGTGTGTGTGTAACCCTTGGAATCATAGGGATCCTTTTGGACTTTTCAGGTTTGTTTTTCAGGTTTGTCTTTCTGTTTTGCTTCACAGCAGGGGGGCTGGTTGTTCATGCAAGTACCAGCCCAACGAAGAGGCTTGCATTGAACACTGATATCGGTGGGGACGCTCACCGACGTACCTGCATTTTCCTTTTCCGGATGGCATGAGGCTAAGCCCAGAACATCACTCGGCAGACAAGTACGACCGTGGTCACCCTTTCGCTTCGTCGTCGCCTTGAGACTTTGGCCTCGTTTTCTTTTAAGACCTCCAGGTTTCGATGGTCCTTACTGGTACTCTTAGGAATTGGAACCCTAGGCCGGCGTGTGGCACCGCTTTCAGTTCAGTACACCCTATCCTAAGTGTGTGCGTCACACTCTGTTTCTAAGAGTTTTCCACAAGCAGGGGCGTGTGACACTCTTATCCTATCACACGCAACGAAGCTGTGGATAAGAGTGGGAAGGGAAACTTGGCCAGTTTCCTGTACCTGCGACAAATTGAACTTTTGACCACGCTGTCCACTTCTTTGGTTTGCTTCCATGGTCGTTGTCATGATAAGCCCCAAAACATTTCCTTCCGCCACTTTCAGCCGCTCGTGAGCTGTCGGTGAGTCTCTGCAGACGTGCGCAAACATTTGTTAAACATTCAGTTGGTCGCGGACTTTGCCACCTTCTCATTCACTTCTTCGGGGAATTGATGTAACTGCAAACCCATTGTCTAAGTGTGTGTGAGCAAGCAGTTTAGTTTCGACCAAGGCACGTCTCAAAGGTCACATCCGGCCTCAAGGGTTTTGAGCTGCTGGGCTTCGCATCTTTCTCCAGCTCGGGCCTCGTCGAACAATGTTGAAAAAAGAACATCAAAAAAACTCGCAACTACTGTTACTGTTTTGTAAATAGGATAGTCATGAGGGTAGTAACGGGTAGGGATAAGGTAACTTTCACTTGCATGCTGCAGCTATGCCAGCTATCACTGGTAAGTAGCTACCGGCAAGTGTATGAATGCAATGCTACCAGGCTCGGGATGGCTCAGGTTCTTCTAGGAAGTCGCTTCCACGGAGGTTCCACAAGCCTCCCTTCAGCTGGAAAGTACAGTCACTGAAAACGAATTAAGTTTAACTGATTTTTTTTCTTCCATTGGCCAAGTTTCGGAGCTTCTTCTTTGGTTTCCTCTGTCTTCTGTCGTTTCGCCTCACATCTGCAAAAACACAAGGCATCTCAAACCAAATTGCCAATGCCTCTGGTTCCGCCATGGCTGGGAGGAAAACTTGATGCGATGTTTGGGCCGCGAGGCTGCGAGTTGGCAGTGAATTCCTCCAACCTAGTAGCTTCTTGTTTGGCGATCACAACATACTAAAGAGCTTCTTACAGGTGAAACGATTCCGAATTTGACAGCACAAAAACATACAAAAACTATCTCCAACTCGTCGAAGAAAGATCTGGCTCCAGAGACTCTAGTCACTAGTAGTCCCTCCGTGTCTCTTAGTCCTGATCCGATTCCACAATCTCATGTTCCACATGCTCAGCTAGCGCTTGGGGCCGCTGCCAGGTTGCACGGAATCAGCGAAACTGCTGAGTCTAGTGAAGGACAACTTGGGATCCAAAACGGCAGCTGATTCTCTTGAGTAGATACACGGTCCCGAAACACAGCTGCAAAACTTCAAAACTGTCCCAATCCCAACACCGATAGCCGATAGAAACTTCAGTGAGCGTCAAGCCACAAGAATTGGCAGCCAAATTGGCAGCACCTTTCCGGTCTTAGATTCATGCTACATAAATGCATGCGATGCATGTAACATGTACGTCAAAGGGAGGCACCGACAGAGCGCTGCCTGCTGCATACGGGTGCACCTGAGGTCAGCTTATGTCAGCCCCTCTCTCTCTCTCTCTCTGGCGGGCACTCGTCCCGAAATCGTCTCACAGAGACGCCCAACTGCAACTTCCCCTAAAGGCCGGAGACCAAGGGGGCAAGACAGTCAGCCTGTCAGTCATTGAAAAGTGAGGCAACATGATCGCACCTGTCATGTCTCGGCTTTTTGGTGGGACAGTTTTCAAGCCACTCAATGAGGAGCTCAAGTCTTCAGGGAGGTCAGTCTGAACTTTACATTGCTTCCCAGCAATATTGAAAATCATGCAGTGCCGATGCAGCCAGTGCCGCAGGGTCAACGCTCGGTCCGCCGAAAAGGTCTCACAACTCGCATACGCTCCATCCCCAACCACAGGGTGGCCAACATGCGCCAAATGGCTTCTGATTTGATGCTTCCGACCCGTCTCTATGCGAACATGAAGCAGGCTGAAAGCATGGCCCAGCATGCGGTCGGACCATGCATGGCTCTGCAAATCAACTGTTGTCCGGGCAGTTCTGCCACGGCCTCCAGCAAATGTTGGGCTATCCCCATGCCAAATGAGGTTGGCATTTAGTGATGCTTGTGCATGGGGAAAACGGCCATGGCTCAAGACCAGGTAGTGTCTTTTAAGTTGTCCAGAATGAAGCTGTACTTGAAGATTATAGTGAGCTTCGTACGTCTTTGTCACTAGGATTAAGCCAGAACTTGGTACATCCAGCCGGTGCAAGAAACCACGGAAGTGATTTGAGTCATCGAAAATGGGGGCTCTCCCAAACTGCTCCTTCACAAAGCTTGAGAGTTGGCGCTTGGTATGTCCTCCGTAGACTTCCCAGTCAGCTGGTTTCAGAAGCACAGCACAGTCCGCAAGGCCCATCACAACCTTTGGAACAGCTTCCCAGTCCTTTGTCGCAGAGGTGCTTGAAGCTTCGGTGTTCCTTGAACGAATGGGCTCGGAGTGCCAGTCGTGCTGTTTATCCAGCAGCTGCCCAACCTTGGGCAGTAGCTGCTGCACAGATCCAAGGAACTGTGTGCTCAACGAGTTTGCCAGCTGGCACGAGAATAGCACTCCTCAATTGAGACAGCATGGGGACCAAGTAGTGTAGCCATTGAGGCTAAGGGACTGAAAGCACGCTTCCGGGGAGGCCGGCGGACGTATTTTACCACACATCACTCACGCATGAAGGGCTGTTGTGCAAGTTGAATGTATAGCCGTACGGATGGAAACAAACAAAACCTGAGAGGTAGCAAACGAAAGCTAGGGTCTCTCTTTTTGTTCCGCCCGCGCGAGCTGCGGCAGAGCGGGGGCCCAGCCAAGTTGTTTGAAAATGTTTGCGAATGGCCAACTGTCAGAATAACGTGCAAGAGGGTCTAAACCACACTGGTCTAGAGCCTATTAAACCTATCCCTTTTTGTAATTGTAGTAAATGTCCACCTGCATGCAAATGAGCCCACGGAGCGGCAAATCAGTAGAACTGCAAAACACCAAAGCATCAGACGTAACCGTAGTTCTTTCTGCGAACGTAGTGAGACGACGGCGGCAAATCAGTAGAACTGCAAAACACCAAAGCATCAGACGTAACCGTAGTTCTTTCTGCGAACGTAGTGAGGCGACGGCGGCAAATCAGTAGAACTGCACTACACCAAAGCATCAGACATAACCGTAGTTCTGCCAAAAAAAACAACGAAATCCCTGTATGCTGCACCCTGTCCCTCTCTCAGAGTAGGGTAGAGTAGAGTAGAGTAGAGTAGAGTCAAGTGGGCGGCGAGGTTTTTTCACTTTCGCGCTCGTGACAAGACAAGCTAGGATAGAACGAGAAAGGAACGATGTTCTGTCGTGCTTTCAGCAAGTACTCATGACAAGACAAGGTGGGAACGCCAATCGCAAAAAAAAACAATACGAAATCCCTGCATGCTGCATCCTCTCTCTCTCTCTCTCTTCCTCTCTCTGTGTCAGAAAGTTGGAGTAGAGTAGAATAGAGTAGAGTACAGTGGGCCTTCCGATTGTTTCACGTGCTCACATTCCAAAACCTGTATTTACGATATGTTTTCCAACTTGCGGGCACACCCCTGCTTTTCACGTTTTCAAACCTATAAACAATCCAATACGAAATCCCTGTATGCTGCATCCTCTCTCTCTCTCTCTCTCTGCGTCAGAAAGTTGGAGTAGGGTAGAATAGAGTAAAGTACAGGGGGTCTTTCGATTGTTTCACGTGCTCAAATTCCACAACCTGTATTTACGATATGTGTTCCAACTTGCGGGCAAACAAACGCAGAAAAATCCCCCTGTTTTTCACGTTTTCACACCTAAAAACACAGTATTTACAATGGTTTTTCCACCCTGCAGGCCAAAAAGCATGATACTTACGATGTTTTCACTCCCGAACCAGCATAACAATCCAACATGTTTCACGTCTTCACATGCAAAAACACGGTATTTACGGCGTGTTTGCTACTTTCCGGCACACTAACACAGAAAAAACATCAAAATCCACCTGTTTTTCCTGTTTTCACAGTCAAAAACACGGTATCTACGATGTTCTTCCGACCTGCAGGCTAAAAACACAGGAAAAAACACTAGATTTCTGACCTTGTTTCACGCTTTCATCGTCAAAAAACATCGGTATTTGATGGTATTTGCGATGTTTTTTTCAACTTTTGACTCAATCAGAATCGAAATCAGCCTCCGCAGGGGCGGAGCAGGGAGGAATCGAAGCCCCACCGTCACCAAATTGCCGCATGGTACATAACCCGTCCACACGGACCCTGTAACTCACCCAAAACACCAGCTGACAGCGACTTTTTCTGCCCCGCTGGGCAGCATCTCACCCCCCACACCCCCTTAATCTCACTACGTTCGCAAATGAGAACTCAGCAGTCGCCTATCGGCTAGCTTTCGTAACTTTAAACGAGTCTTGCATCTTACGGAGCCCTTCCATACGAGGTACACCTGTCACGCCCAGTGCTTCTGCCACAAGACATTTTACCATCCAGTAGGCAGTAAGCAGACTTCAGCAGTCTTGCTTGAAGCTAGAGGTGGCCAAGTGAACATGCTTGGCGGTGGTCCCAACGGTTCTTGCAGTTTCTGTTCAAGCACTACCAGCGACCCTTCAGTTTGACTGGGTATCGGGGTGAGCAGGCACATATCCACTAAAAGAAACATTAACGACAAAGTGAGAAGAATTATATAACTATGCAAAACATGCAAAGTATGTACACGCAAAACGAGACAAAATGAAGGCGCAAATGAATCACCTGTTGCACCGAGTTTCGCCGCACAACCAGAATCATATCTATACAGAAAAGAAAGACCAGAACTAAGGACGACAACAACGAATTCAAAAGGCCGTATGGGAAGTTGTACCCAGATGTGCCACAAAGCAGAGGGATCCGAGAAGTTCGGAGAAAAGCCCCAAGAGCTGGTGTGTGGAGGCAGACTTCAGGGTGTGGACACAGGCTTTGCTAGCAGAAATTGAACGGATGTGGCAGCCAATCGAAGGAAACATATTTATACTGCAAACACCTCAAAGCAGTATACATGGCAACCCCATGGGAGGCCCCGAAGCCTAAAATATCATGCATCATCTCAAATGAACCCAATCCCAAACCTCGCCAAAGGAAGAGTTATGCCAGCTAGCTTCGCAGGCTTCGCTAGCTTTTGTGGTTTCAATGCCGAAAGTCTCATGAAGCGCCAAGTCACCGAGCACATGCATTCCCGAATTGACCAGCGAAAAGCTCTCAGTGGGAAGTTGAGCGAAAACTGCTTCTGTACGCCGCTGCGCTGCCAACAATAGACTTTGGGCAAAGAGGCTTGATTCACAATCGACGGAGCCTGATGCAACAGTAACAAGCTCGTCAAGTTGAAACTCTGCAATCTGAAACATGGTCTGATTCGCCCTCAGCATGTCCAACCGCTTGTTCCTTGCACCCAGCATGGCAGTAGACCACCACAGGCAAGCATGCTCATTTGGAGACTGGTTGCCAATAGATTCCCTGAAATCCTGAAATGCTTCGACGCAAGCAGAGTGGATCACGTCAGGCTCTTTGCAGCTTAGCAATGCTAATCCCCACAAATATTCTAGTGCTGACCGTTTCTCCGCAGTGTTCACCAACAATTCCCAAACATGCTCTTGTTGCCCCTGATCACTGTAGGCCTGCATAACTACATCATTCGCTAGAATACTGGGCAGCAAAGCTGCTTCTCTCATGGATGTTAGGAGTGTGGCAGCTGCTCGCCATGGACATCCTCGGAGCACCACATTATAGACAGCAGCCTCGCCAACTGTTAGCTGTTGAGCTTTCGCCAACAAACAAACAGCGCGCTGCCATTCTTTGGCCTTGGAGCATGCTGAAATCAAAGAACCATAGGTCACAGCATTTGCTTCGAGCCTCTGCTGTGAAAGAAACTGCACCATTTGCAATGACTGCTTCCACCCGGCCATTTGATCAAATGAAGCAATGAGTGCATTGCAAGTGATCACATCCAGATATGTCTCATGCCGAAGCTCCGAAAACAAGTCCAGCGCCGAGAGCCACTGAGCTGCTTGCTTGCATCCAGAGATTGCCGCATTGTAGCTGATGATATTTGGTTTCACAAACCTCTGACAGGCATTGAGAAAATCTATGGCTGCTTGCCACCTCATCCCCTTCTCGCAGGCACTGGAAGCAGCATTGCACAAAACAATGCTGGACTGGAGACGTCTGACATTTCCAAACTCCAACAGTCCAAGAGCTGTGCGCCAGCAGGCGGCGTTCTCCTCACAAGCACTAATCGCGGCACCGCATCCGATACTGCTTCCCAAGTGGCATTTGCAACTCTTCTCCAGCAACAATGAGGCCACCTGCCACGACCCGCATGCAACTGCCGCGCCGTAGGTCACCACATCTGGACGCAGTGACATGCAGCTTACTGCGTCAAACCTGTCCAGTGCACGCAGCCAGGATTCCAAGCCACCAATAGTAATGGCTGAGTTACACGCCACTAGATCTGAGAATTTTTGGGTTAAAGCAAAGCATGCGAGCCAGCGATTTGTGGAGCACTTGCTCGCAACAGCACTGTAGGTAATAACCTTGGATCGGTCCAAAGCTCTTTGGCAACCCATCGGACTTCACAACCATGAAACGTGTACAAAACAGTTTCTGAACAAGTGCAAGAACTATTTTTTGGTAAAACATGCAATGGCTTTCTTTTTCTGAACGCGTTGCATTTGGTTGCACTGCATCAGCTCTAAACACAGAAAGCAGCAGCAAAGCTTGATCCCACTGGTCAGACTTCGTGCACGCACTAATAGCTGCAGTCAATGACTTCATATGACGCCTCATAGGGTTTCTTGAACTTCTTCCAGTACGGCTTATTTGGACCGTTCGAAGTTCTTGCAGCAAAAGAAGTGCGTGCTGCCATGCCAGGCCTTGGGCAAACGTGGCAAATGCCGGCACCAACGCCGGCAGTGGGGCTGCCCTGACCCCTCTTGGAAATATGGCTGTAAAGGCCCCCTCTCTATTCAGCGCTTCTTGCCAAAGCCGCTTTTTGCAAAGGGCCTTTACAGCCACTTGCGGTGAGCTCCATGGCTTCCCATCCAAGTTGGCACAAACATGCATTCTAATCCGTCACTGTCGTCTGGAGCGTCAATGTGGCACTCATAAGCTTCGGAAGACTCAATGACTCATGGCTTCATAAGCCATAAGCTTGGAAAAAATGCAACAACTTCATAATCATAAGCTTCACCTTGACTTAGTAACGTTACTAACGAGACTCGTTCAACATGTGTGAAACCTAATTGAAACAATAACGCTCAGCTCTGCAAAGAAACAACAGTTCCGGTGCTGAGCCTTGCTGGCCTCGCTCCTCCCGATCCTGCAGCGACATGAGCACAAGAGTAAGCAAAGCATAGGTGCTCCTAGTAGCGAGTAAGGCCAGGAGCCCCTAGTAGCGTCCTTGCTCCTAGTAGCGATGCCAGGAGCCCGTAGTAGCTTCTTGTCACTAGCAAGAGCATATGCTGAGCACAAAAGGATGCATAATTTCAAACACACATGGTTTGGTGCGCAGAAATGCGAAATTACGGCTGCCAGGCAACACAAAGGGGGACAGCCACCGCAGCCATGCGTCCAATCCTCCACTAAAAGCAGTTTGGAGTTACGACCCCCTTTTCTGAGGAAGTCTCTGGCCATTCAATGGGTGCCGATACAGGCTCCGGCCAAAAATCAAAGCATAAAAATGCCCAACAGTCTTTGCAGTCCGGAACTGCGATAGCTGAGCACAGGGCATGAAGCATGGACATAGGCGACTTGACACCGGCAGGGTGAAAATTGAATGCCCCGGGTCTTGTCATGTTGCTGTGGTCTCTTTCAACCAGCGGGGTGCCAGGAATGCGTGCATGTCGGCCTTCTTTCAGTGTCAGGAGAAAGGCTCTCTTTCTAAAAATGTCTACAGTAGGCAAATCATAGGCAAACATGCCTCTGAGCTTCAATGTATAGCAACAAACGTCTGCCTCTGGTCAGCTGTCAGTGTATGAGAATCCTACCTAGTTCTGCCTTGCACATCGTTGCGACATGTTGAGGCTTGTTCTGCAGCTGCATGCCACACCGGAGCCTTCCAAGAGACGAGTTGCACCACCTAAAACTATCCCCCACTCTCGCTCTCTCTCGCAAGCATCACTTGTGTTTGCGAGTCTTTCGCAAGTGCTACGACATAGTGAAACTCGATGCTCTTAGTGCTGTATGTTTTGACAGCATGGTGAGCCGGGAGCGAGTCATGAATTGAAGATAATGCAGACTGAAAAAACAATGCTAAATGCATGCCACATCATGCCACAACCATATACACAACCTCTCTCCAGTACTTGTTTTGAAACTTTGATGTGTGAAGTTTCAATCCTGTGGTGCAGGCTCAGAATGCTTGACCCGGTCCACGACTGCTTCACATTCCCACATCGTCACCTGAGCACGACAACTATAAGCAACGCTTGGTGGCGTGATTGCCAAAATCAAACCATTCTGCAACTGAGCGCCTGTGACTGAATCTTGATAGTCTCCCGTCTCCTCTTCGGGCAAAGCCTGAGTGGTTGTGAAAGGCAAATGTTTTCGTGGTGCTTCTTGTTCAAAGCCATCAAAACAAAATTGGTGCCCACACCGGATAGAAGAACTCGTGGAAGATGCCGCAATTCCTACCCATAGCCCCATAGGTGACGCTTCTGCCCAAATTGTACCAAATATGCGATCAAAACCCGCACATCGCAAAACAATATAGTGAAAATTTGCAGAACTCCCTAGCGCACTTCAGAAGCTCTGCAAGCTCAGAGCTCTTTTGCTCAGAACCTGGCGAAAACTGACAAAGGTGCGTGAAACCACCAATGCAGTAGGAAATTGAAAAACAATGGGAACACAATCCGCCAAAAGCGCTCGCAAGCAAGCCATGTGTCCCAGGACGCTGACCATAAACATCAGGGACAGGGCTCGCTAAAGTTACAAACACAAACGGTTAAGAAGCCGAGGACAAGCTTCAGGCAGGCTGCCTGTAGGATGTCGCGAGGGAGGTGGATTGTACAAAAGGTGATGCAATACTAGCAGGGCCATGCAGCACCCTACTTTGCCCTACTATACCTTGCAAACTCATGCTAGTGTAAAAAAACAAGCAGCCAGCTATGGCTTGCTCTCTGCACTCCATCGGTTGCCACCAAGGAAACAAAGCAACAATGCCACAGCCCCTGACTCAAGGCAAATTGCTCAGCCACACCTGGACCAAGCTCTTCAAGCTGTATCTGGAAAGCGCGAGCAAAGTCCTCAGAAAGCCCCAAAGCATAGGTCTAGTGATGGAGAAGGGAGCATAAGTTGCGGCCGGTGTATTGCCGTTCAAATTGCGCGCTTTGGTCGAACAAAATAGGCAATGGACTTCGACTGCAACATTGCTGTCGACAGCTTCAAAAAGAGTCTATATACATATATACATACTTCTACAGTAAAGTTCTACCTCACCGAATGCTCGCGGCACCTGCAGCACCTGCAGCTCTTGCCATCAAAAATTTGAGCTGACCTCTCAGACCTTTGCTGAGAGGCAAGGCAAACTCCCACCGCTCCGTCTTGCGGCATGCACCAAAACCAGCACAAAAGCTGATCATGTCACCCTGAAGGTGTTCTTCACTCAGTTCCTGGCACGAAGGAACTCTCTGAGCACAGGTCAATCCATGACACTGTCTGGACTCTGGACCTTGAAAAGGGCAACAAATACGCACACCCCGCACAGCCTTGAGCAATAAAACTGCCTCCTGCCACCGACCAGATTGCTCGCAGGCACCCAAAGCAGCATTGTAAGCAAACAAGTTTGCTTGCAATTGAATATCCTCCGCAAAGCCAGCAGCATGCTAAAGAAGCGGCCAACTCATGTCACTCAGCCAACCATCTCTCTCTCTCTCTCTCTCGAAGGATGCGGGACATGTTTTTTTGTTTGTGGGAGTCCATCCGTGAAGCAATTCTTGGGCCATGTCTCCGCACCCCAACCGAAACGCTCAGCCGGTTTATCTAGCTGGAGCGATCTGCCCGCAAGATTGCTCCGTTTCCGCAACCCCATGCTGGCAGTCCTGCATTCTTGCAAGCAAATAACAAGCATGTTGCCAACAAGTTTTGCAAGCTGCGATTGCAGATGTGAAAAGAAGAGAAGCACCATACGCACCTGAGACAACGCGTAGCTCACGACAGCTTTGGTGAGAAATTCCAAGCATAACTTTGCCAAGGAACCTGAAATGCCTATGCTGTCCACCTCCTTCAGCAGTTGAAGCGCCAGTTGCCATTGTGCAACATCCCCACATGCAGTGATTGCAGAGTTGTGGGCAATCGCGTCCTGAAGAGCAAACTGCTGAACCCAGCAACCGTGACCAACATTGCCAAACAAAAACGGTCAATCCAGTGCCGGGGTAGTTACCAGTTGAACAGTTACCAATTATATAAGTTTTGAGTTCCTCGGGCGTTGTTCCGTCTGTACACTACTGCACGAGTGTGCTCCTACTGCAGTTACATTGACACATGTCATGCAAGTTTTTCAGTGTTCATTGCAAATACTCGTGGCATTCTTGACGTTTTCTTACTAAGAGTCTAGCTATTTGTGCACCCCACCCGGTTCCAAGGGTTCCTTTTGCACCGAACCGAACCGCACCACAGGCCACAGCCTAATTCAGAATACCTGCAGGGAAACAGCGCATGACATCACGACGTTGGCCAACGAAGCTAGTGATCTGCCCTTTTAATACTGTGAAAAGTTGACGCGAATGCCATTTTAGAGGACCATGTTTGAGGCACCAGGTCGTGCGCACAATGTAGTAAGCATAAAAAACTAAGGGTTAATGTATACACTGAATCTTACTGTTACTGAATCGAGCTCCTTCTGGATATTTTCCTAAGTGTGTCAGGTGTGTGCGTTACCCCGAAGAACAATATGATAGATCATAAAAGGCACGTTTTCTAATCAAACGGCAAACTATAGACATCAATACGCTACAAGCGAACGAGTTAAAAAGTTGAGGAAAGGGAACAAAGGACACTCGCAACCCCAAAAGGCAAGAACAAAAAATATTATATACACAGCACATGGTTGCTCAAGCCCTCTCTCTCTCTCTGTGTCTCTCTCTCTCTCTCTCTTTCTCTCTCTTTCTCTCTCTCCAGAAAGTTAGTACAGGCTGCGGCTACAGGTCCTTCCAAGGTAGTTCCTGTAAGAGAACCAGGCTTTTTCGCCACTCTGATGCTGCCCCACAAGCATCAATTCCCGTGCTGAAACCAATGGCCTCCGATCAATCTTCAATGTGAGAAAGCAGGAGCAATGCATGCCTGGGGTGAGGGTTCGCATCTTGGCCATCGGCTTTTGGATCGCTTAGTCGGGCTTTGGATCGCTGAGTCATCGCCCTCGTGCGCGCTTTTCCTCACCTGTCAGGTGAGGGTTGTTAGCCTTCCTCCACCTCGGCCTCCTTCTCCGCGTCCTCCTCCTCAGCCGGACCTCAACCGCGAGGTCCGCTTGGCAGTGTTCCCCGCCGGACATCAACCAGCACACAGCCACAAACACACATTCACAACACACACAGCCACAAACACAATCACGGACGCACAACCACAAAAACACACAAGCACAAACACAAACACGCAGTCACAAAACACAACCACAAACACAAAAGTACAATAACAAACACACAAGCACCATCACAACCTCACAACCACAAACACAAACACATCCACAAACATGCAAACACAAACACAACCACACAACACACAACCACAAACACAACCGCAAAACACGACACAGCCACAAAGACAAACTACAGCACACAACCACAGCACACATCCACAACACACAACCACAGCACACAACCACAATCGCAGCACACAACCCGAGGACCCACAAACAAAGTCGAGAACAACAAAACTACGACCATGGCAATATGCTCCTCACCATGGCATGAAGACAAATGATGGAATGTCATGGCGGGGATCGCTCGAAGTAGAGTAATTTTGCATTCTCGGGTAAACGTTGATGCTTTCATGATGCAGTTTCACACGGCGCAATGTGTTTTTCGGTGCGTAGTTGCGCATTCAATGACGGTATGGAACACCGCCCCACCCCACCCCACTCCTTCAAAAAGGAAATCTTAGCGTGAGTGTTAGTTGAAGTGAACGTCATTAGCCCTAGATGTGAGCGCTAGTCGAAGTGAATGTCATTACCACCCGACCCAATGCACTTCATCATTGGCAACTTGAAGTGCATGTGACAATCCCGCATGACAAGGTGATCCCAAGTCCGATGGCTAAATGATACCTCGATGGCTAAGTGATCCCCGATGGCTAAGCAATCCTGCCCTATGGCTAAGTGATCCCTTTGCCATCCTTCCTCCCCTGATGGCCATACAAACATCACTGGTTGAGTCTAGTTGGTGAGAACGGACATGCTTCAATGTCATCTCGTCCATCTGTGATCTTTCAAGGTTGAATAAGTTGTGAGGAGCACCAAAGCGACGTGCTGCTGAAAGGTGTTGGTTTGCAAAGGGTAGTTGATAGTCACAAGTCGTAAGTAAGAACATTATATATATATATATATAATGCCTTCAGGGCCTTCAGCTGCATGCATGCTGGCAAACATCTGCCAAATTCGGGCTGCAACAGGCGACCCGTTATAAGAGTCATCGACATGTGCCTTGTGCTCATCATCAGTCCCCAAGCAGTTTGGGTGCAACCCCCTGCCTCTGACTGAAGGTGCACCTCGTCGAGGCATGCGAGGAGGCTGAAAGCTGCTTCCCAGTTCCCGCCTTCTCTGCATACACCGACCTCAAAACAGCGAAAGCACAAAACGTTGGGGCAAGTCCAGGGCACATTTTTCAATATTTGGCGAGGTTTGAGTGATCTTCAGAACATTGCTTCTGAGCAGCGCTGGCTCCACAGGTGACTGCGTCAAAAGCCAGCCGCTGCATCTGGGCATGCAATGTACACAATACAAACCCTGGCCGAGTACAGTACTGAATTAGTCAGAAAAAGACAGCACTCCATCTTGTGTGAAAGTGGGGCGGACCAGCTAGTGAAAATACAAACAAATGAATACATAATGAATACAAATGAAGCATCAACCTTATTTGCAAACGTGGCACGTGGAGCTCTCGGAGAAGGAGGCAAGTCTTCTGCCACTTCCCTTTCGCACTTAAGGCGGTGATGCCAGCATTGTAGGTCACAATGTTGGCCTCAGACAATTATTGGAAATGTCAAGCTTGCAGTCACTGGGCAGTATATAACCCAGTTGACATGACCCTCGAGGTGAGCAGTGTGCTAGCCAAAGGGACCTGAACAGTTCGAGATGTCAAGCTGAAGAGAAGGAAAGCTTCCTTCCACAGCTGACTCCTTTCACAAGCGCTGATGGCAGATGTGTAAGTGATCACATCGCCCTGCACCCGGAGGCGCTCCAGTTGACCTAGAACATATAAGACCCACTGCCACTGTTTCTGCCTTCCACAGTAAGCAATGGCATCATTGACACTGCGCAAACGAATCGGCCAAGAATTGGTGATGGCGACTCCCAGCAATGACAGCGCATTGGCCCAAAGACTACCCAATGCACATGCGCTAATTGCTGTGCTGCAAGTGACTTCGTTGCCACCAACAACAAGCGACATCTGGTAGAGGGAAATATCCCACGGCCCGACGAAGGTGCAGGCAGACATCGCAACACTCCGGGTGACCAAGCTCGGCCGCAAGCCCATTCCTCTTTCCATCTCTTGGAGCATGAGCATGGTCTCTTGCCACATATCGACCTGTCCAAATGCACTGAGAGCGCTGTTCATTACAAATGTGTTGATCCCTTGTACGCTGCACACTCTGTTGAGTGTCAAGTCTGCCAAAACTGCAAGAGATGCGGCCCACTGAAAGGCAGAATTGCAAGCAGACATGGCCGAATTCAAAGAAATTATATCAACAGAAATGCTCCTGCTCTGTGATTCATGGACGAAAAATATTGCATGCAGCCACTGCGAGTTGGAACCCACTGCACTGATCTCGGACCCAAATGTAATACGATCTCCCTCAACTGAGAAAGATTCGGCTAATCTCAACCAGCTGACAACCTGTTGCCACTCTCTCCCCTTCACATTCAAAAGTGCATTGAACTTCACCAAGTTCAGCTCCACTCTGCTGCCATCTGCCTGGTGTAGCAGTTGAACTCCTCTGCACCATTCTGCAGCCTTGCTGCAGGCATTGATGACCGAGGTGCTCAGCGCAGCGCGTTGATCAGCGACGTTCCTCGAAATCTCCAAGACTGCTAAAGCATTAGACCAACAAAATGCATTTTGTCCATTCTCGATCTTCTCGCAAGCGCGAAGCGCGCGGGTTGGTTGGGCCATGAGGTGTTCAGTTGAGAACCGCTCTACTCCACATGGTACTTCACCGCCCCCAAGCCTGGAACAACCTGTGTCAGGCGGAAGGCTTCCCAGCTCGAGAAAATGGCTAAACATGACATCCTCTCATATTCTCAGAGGAAAAAAGTATGTCCATCATCAGAATCCAAAGATATCTTTACTTGTTGCACTCTTGTGAGTCAATCGCCTCTGGCTGCAGGACAGCCAACACGGAGTCATCTTTGCAGGCAGCCTAGAGCTGTGTTAGAGTTCATTGCCTTTTCCACCGAGTCTTCGGTTTGCCTGTCTCTTCAGCATTCTTGAACACTTCTACAATTTCGATCCTACAGCACGGATAACACAGGCCACCCAAGTTTGAAAACCCTCGAGCTCTGCGTGTTGGCCTTGTCCAAGACATGTCAGGCACCCCTGGTCTACTTATGTCAACCCATCGTAGAGCACCTCGACCTGTTCAAGCTTGACCTCAGTGAGAGTAGAAGTTTGCAACTGGAAAATGCTTCAGGTCCCTCCATGTGAGATGTCCCATTCCTTGCATCGTACACCATCCAAGAAATGCTTCGGTAGCAACTAGTTGCCTTCTTTGGCGCCGCTTGAGCATTAAACATGTTGGCAATTAAAGCTTTCCATGTTGGTGCACCTATCAACTACATCACACAACGTACTTAGAATACACTTGGCTCCAACTGTTACTGTACCCGCTGCTGACCGTAATTATTGTGCAGCCATGTCAGTGTCTGGGAGCCCTGCCAGACCATCTTTAACACAACTTCTCACCCTTAGGGCCAAACTTAGCGAGAACAAGAATACAGAACGGCCAGTGTGTGCTTGCATGAAAACGCAAAGAGCCAGGTCTGTCTCAAGGATGGCCCTCGCTCTCAGGCTCTTGCACCTTCTCCATGCGTTCGCTCAAGCTTAGTGCTTCCTGGATTTTTATCCCCTGCTTTCCCTTTGGCCCAAAAGTGCTGCTTGCAAATATTTTGGTAGCTAGGTCCTCCAAGTGTTGAAGCCGTAGCGCATAAACCATTGGAGACAGAACCTGCAGGTAATTAGCAAGTGAAGCATGAGACTGTTGGTAGACTGTCTCTCTTGTTGCGCACGCAGTCTAGTCAGCTATCATGCAAGCCCCTGGCATAGAGATCATCCAAGAGAAGCCTCACAATGTACAGCTTCTTCCACTGTAAAAACAGGTGATTCGGTGTCTTCTAAGGTCAAGAGCCACTCGTAATTCACAATAGTAGTTGGGCCTCGTGGACATGTTGAGGCAAGACCCTCTCAGCGTTTCAAGCGGACCACAAGCGTGATCCTTGGACTCCTCAATGGCTCAAGGTCCGCCTTGACTTCTGAAAAGCGTCAGGCTCCTCTAGGCTGTTTGAAGAATCAGGCTTGGACCACCAGGAGGAAAGTAGGTCACTAACTCCTTGCCAGGTCTCATCAAATCTCACTAACTCCTTGCCAATTGTCAACTAACCCCAAGCCCTGCAAAACTGATGCTCATACAGTGGAAGGTCGTTCGGAAAGGTTGTTCTGCTGATATGATCCGAATTATTGGATGAGCAAGTCTATATGTTGTGCTCATTCTTGCCTCAAATTCAATGAAATCTTCCCGGCCGCTTTTGAGACGTGAGCACAAGTGGCGGAAGGCACAGGCACACCCCCTCTTTTTGCGACGGAACCTACTGGCTTGTGGCTCTTGTGGCTGTTATTGCCGCCTTCAGGCCCATCATGGTCTCCTTGGTACATTCTTAAACTTACTCTAGGCACTTTTGTCTGCAAATCTGCGAAAGGCAATGCCAAGCGGCAAAATCAAGCTTTCCTCCTTCTCCTTCACTCTTCACCTTGAGTGAAGGGGTGAAGGGGTGGGCCATGTTGAGAGAAGCCACAAGGTCAGGCTGGAGAATCGATACGCGAATCAATTCTGTGGGGATCAGTCGGACTTCGTTGGAGCTTGTCTTCTGACCACTGGGGCTACAGCTGCTAAGGGTGAAACATACGCGCACAACGGGCCTTGGCACTGCCCGCAGCCAGGCCAAAGAGCATCGCCTCCTAATGAACTTGAACAATATGGAATCATTGGGGATCATGGAACAACAAAATGACGTCTGTCGGGGTAAAAGGTGTCGAAGTATCTCAGAAAGCTTGGATCCGCTGCCTACCCGAAAGATCCCAAAAGTGTAACTCTACTGTGCTCGAGCTAGCTATGGCTGGGAACGACAGCCTCTCGCCGCCGGAGGGAGCAGTTGGCAAAAAAAAAGCTCCTCGATGAGCTGATTTGCCACTTCCAAGCTCTAAAGAAGACTCAAGCCCTACCCGACCCTGACTATGGCACTCCTTCGCCTCCCCGTCTTCCATTCGCTCACCCACGCAGCAATCCTCGACATCATTGGCAACGCCAAAGCACAAGGAAGCCATGAGGACACCAGCCACAGTGTCACCTGCTCCGATTGGATTTACACCTCATGAGAAAAGCCATGCAAAAATGCAAGGCTCACAACACAAGGTCTGCTCAAATTCAATCTTGGTAAGCTCATTTTTGGTCAGCGGTAGCTGCAACTGTTGTCAACCAAAAAGACATTGTACAGTACCGGCGAGCTGCCACAAACACCTGACAGGATCCTCTTTCGTGCCCAGCTTTGGGTGCAAGAAGAATGCAAATTGAAGTCTCCGGTGCGGGCACATCTCCCTCAGAGCTTATACTTGCAACCTTGAAATACCTTTACTGTAACACATCTGAAGAGTGTAATGTGAAGGAAGAAGCGTAGCAACAACAGGAGCAGCAGCAACAACAGGATGAGGAGCAGCCTCAATCTCCAAAATTGCAAGCACCAGGCCTTCGCGACCTACCGACCCTGCGAAACTAGAAAAAACAACTATGTAAGCACACCAATGCCTGGCCAAGCAATTGGCAGAATAGTAAACTGTGGAGGATCTTCCAAATTCCGCCGAGGCGCATGGGACAGCTGGAAGGTCATAGCGAGTGCAACGAGTCCCTTGACGGCTGTCACGGGAGAAGAGAAAGGAAGCTTTCGCGCCATCCTCAAGGGCAAATCAATCTGAGTATAGCATCAGCTATAGTAGAAGCTATAACCTACCACTAGTTTGTTAACAATGTTTAGCATGCTGACCTTGATAGGACATTAATCAGTACAAGTCTAGAAGCCAGGCACCCCCCAACAACCAAAAATTACAAAGGGCAAGGAAGGCAACAACTGTGCTTCTGCTGTCGCAAGACAAAGCCCTGAGATGAAAAACAAAGAGAATAGAGTGACTCAGGGCAGCCAGTATGCAAAGTCAAGAAACCCTTGATTTTTGAGACCGCAGTGCAAAGTGTGAGAACCTCAACAAGTGGCTTTGTTAGGAAGGGCCGGCTCATCTATATAAATATATACATGCGTATAATATTCTTTCCCCTGGCAAGTTACTTGCATAGGCACCACTCAAGGTGCCGGATCATCAAGCACTGCCTATACGTGCCTGGGTGTCAATTTATTTGTTTGGCTACAGGTTGAGGGTTGGGGGTTGAGAGGCTCTGGGTAAGTTGTCAAGTTGCCTGCACTCTCTCATTGGTACCAAGGAAAAAGGTATTATGTATATATATATGTATGTATGTACATATGTGTATAGATACACGTATTTACATATATGTAGGGATATGTATGTACATATATATATATGCGGGCGCGCATGCTTTTCAGGGCCCCGCAAAAAACAGGAGCATACATACAAATTGGAAAACTGCAAAAAAGAAAACTTGAGGCCAGGGGGAGGAGGTCGAAAGCTAGCCGAATCGCGCCGGATGTAATTACTAGTTACATAGTCGGCAAAGCATGTAGTGATTACATGTGTTGGGAGAAAGGTTGCTACGCACATACTTTGCGCTAAAGAATGTAAATGTGACATCGCCGACTGGGAAGGGTACATTGGAACAACACGGGTGCAGGCACGAAGATGCGTGATCGGCAAATCTGGGGGTTAAATTAGGGGTAAGCATTTCTGACATCACACGGACTGTACATACGCTAGGGCGTCCGTAGTGTAGGATAAGCACTGGTACAAGCTATAAGGAGTAGAGTGTCTTGAGGAAATACCCGGCTTATGGCTATGGCAAATCTGGGGGGTAAATTTACCCCCCGCTTATGTATGCATTAGGTTAGAAATACGGGTAAAGAACTTGTAACAGTGAAGTACAAGTCCTATGCAGCAAGCAGCAGCCACCACCAGCAGCAGCAGCAGCAGCAAGCAGCCAGCAGCCAGCAGCCAGCAGCCAGCAGCAACCACCAACCAGCAGCCAGCCAGCAGCACCACGGAGCAGCAGCGCAGCACCAAGCCGCAGCAGCAGCAGCAGCACCACCACCACCAGCAGCAAGCAGCAAGTAGCAGCAGCAGCAGCAAGCAGCAGCGGCGTCGTCAGCAACAGCAGCAGCAGCAGCAAGCCTCAACAAGTAGCAAAGCAGCAGCTACAAAAGCGGCAACCAGCGGCAGCAGCAAACAGCAGCAGCAAGCAGCAAAGCGGCAGCAGCAGCACCGTTTACACCAAGCCACCGTTTAAAACCAACCAACCACGTTCACACGTTCAACCAACCCCCGCTACACGGCGCAGCTGGGAGTCGAACCGTGGGGGGGAGGGGGTGAAATGTAGAGGCCTACTTGTACAGGTTCCACTCCAGTGGCCTATCTAGTGTGTCCATGCTTGACTGCCATAAGGCTCAAGAGGATAAGACTCTGCGTATAAAAGACACTAGCGGTCTGCACCTCAACCGTGTACGCCCTAGTCACTCTTTCAGTGGTAGCGGAGCTGTGATCCTGGAAGACCCAGGTGAGCTCCTTTCCTAAGCATAGACTTGCTTGTAGGCAACCGGCCATGGATTGGATTGATGACTGGGAAGAGCCTGATGCGGATGTGGCTTATGAGCCAGCAGCCTATGTGAATAGGCATGTGAGAAGAGAACCAGCAGCTATAGCAATGACAACACAGGTCACTACAAAGGTGCCCCCATCTTATGATGGAAAGACTTCATGGTTTTCCTATGAGGATGCCATAGACGATTGGTGTGATATCACCGAGCTGGAGGATGAGAAGAGAGGACCAGCATTGAGAAACAGATTAGAAGGAGAAGCAGCTGTATACAAACGTGTATTAGACAGAGATGCATTGAAAGCGAATGATCCACCAGGAGCTGGAGTAGATTACTTCAAACGAGTACTACGACCATATTTTGTGAAAGGATCAACCAATGTATTCCTGTATAGGTTTATGCAATTCGTGCGCTTCAATCGCGGATCAGCCGACATGATGAAGTGGATGACAAGATTTCAGATTTTACTCCAAAGGCTTATGAGCAGTTGGATGGACATGTTGGATCCAGTAACACAGGTACACCCTCAGGTACAAGCACAGATGCAAGCTGATGCAGCGATGACTGGAGTAGCTCCAACAGCGGAAAGAATTCAGGAAATCATGCAGAATCTGAGAATTCTTCATCAGAACGATTTTCCTCTAGGAGAGAATCTCATTGCCTTACTCATGCTGTCACTTGCGGATTTGTCTCAGGACCAGAGGAACACATTGACCTCTTTGATGACTCATCGTGGTAGAGTCCTGCAGCAATACACCACAACAGAGTTGAGGACAGTTTTCATTGAGATGTTCTGCACAACAAAGACTTCAGTAGACAATCCTCTGATGCAGCCAACAGGTGCTGGAGGTAGAAGATCATTCCTCGTGCTTGACGAAGGAGAACTCGATGGTACATATGGCTATTGGGCCGAAGATGAAGAAGATGGAACAGAAGGATTCCTTGATGCCCTGGACGATGTCTTTTGGGTATATGATGAACAGAATTTCTCTTGGTTCCAGAGGAGATTCCAAGGAAGAAGAGCCAGAAAAGGCAAAGGAAAAGGTAGAAGAAAAGGAAAAGGAAAAGGAAGATCAGGCCGCAGATTTTTCAGACCTCGTGGAAAAGGAAAAGGAAAGAGACGAGGTAAAGGCCATTATGCTGATGAGCAATCGACAACTTATCATGATGAGTATTTTGAAGAGAATCCTTATGAGGACACTTGGGAGTCAACCCAAGTAGCATATGATGCTATTCTTGCCGAAGATATGAATGACTATCTTCAAGGAGAACATGAAGATGCCCATGACTTTTGGCAACAACTTGAAGAAGCATGGTTTTCCCACAAAGGAAAAGGAAAAGGCAAGAGAAAAGGCAAGAAAGGAAAAGGGAAAGATAAAGGAGATGGCAAACAAGATGCAAACTATGCAAATCAACAACAGCCACGTTCTTTGCCTGCACCTTCAAGATCTTCACAAGCATCAGGAAGTCACCAAGGTTTCTTTGCGCATTGTGCGACAACAGCAGCTGAAGTCCATGACAGTGAGGTGGACTTGCTGTCAGGCATGATGACCTCATGTCAAGATGAAGCTGACTGTAAGGTCAACAATGGTGAGATGATCTTCGATGACATGAGTGCCCCTGTGAGGTACTCTTTGTCAAAGGAGATGCTCACAGATGCTCCTGATGGCTTTGCGCTTATGAGCGCTGAGGAAGAAGTGAAAGAGATGCAGGCTATTTCATTTTTGACTGAGAATCGCTTCCCGCCAACTATTGCAATCCTAGACATTGGATGCACTAGAGCTATGGGATCAAGGCGTGCAGTCGATTATTTTTGTAACTATGTCGACAATCACCCAAACTGTGGACTATGGTACTCTTTTGAGTCTACCAAGAGCAAGTTTTACTTTGCCAATTCTCAGAAGGCTTCTTGCTCTCAGAAACTGGTGATTTACATGTATGATCGTGCATGGACGATCCACAATACAGAGTTCGACATAGTTGAAGAAGGAGAAGTCCCTTTGCTTATGAGCTTGCCACAGATGAGGAACTTAGGCTTTGAACTCAGGCTGACACCGCAACATGCTTACCTGACATCGGTGCCTCTTGGTATCAAATTTTTGGAGTTGAAGGTTGCAGCCAGTACTCATCTTGTTTTGGACTTCCAAGATATTGCATGGTATCTGTCTGACGTGCGTTTGCAGGCTCGGCGCGAGAAGAGCTTTTACTCTCACTTCACTCACTATGAATATGGCCATATTTCGGTTGATCACAATAGTGATGAAGATGAAGCTGAGCATGCATATCCTGTGGTTGACTACTGGGAAGTAGATCTTCACAAGAGAGAACTGACACGTCACCACAAGGATTACAGGAAGATTCTTTTCCCAGCAACTAAGTCCTGTCCTGTAGACACTGACTTGCTGGAGGACTTGCGACTGACAATCATCAAGAAGAAAGAAGGAGGAGAAGAGATCAAGAAGATAGATGATTGGCGTAAGGCAAAATGGAAGGACCTACAAATTGGCTATGAATGGCGTGGTAGAACAATTTTTAAGTTCAAGCCAGATGCCAAAATTCCAGGTCTAAAGATCAGGAAGGCGGGCATTGAGCACCGTGGCATTGGTGATCCCGATGCAGTGGTGCGCTCCTCCTCAGAGAAGGTTCCCATTGCAAAGGACAGGGAACCAGGCTTCTCTTCAGAGAAGGAAGGTGCACCATCCAGTGCCGCGGAAAAGCCCGTGCCGCCAAAGTTTCGGTATACTTCAAAGGGTTATGATCCATTTTGGAAAGGACACAAGTTGAAACCATCTGAGCCCTCACATGATTTAAAGGGTGATGATCTTGAGGAGTATACTCCTTCAGAACCACCTGAGAGGCCAGGAGGTGAACTTGTAGAAATTCCTAAAGCATCAAAAGGACCATCAAGTGATAAACATGAACCACTTGAACCAGGTGGTGGCGCTCTTGAGCCTAGGCGGATTTCAATCCCATTACCTGGTAGTGAAGTTGTTGCAATGACACCGGCATATAGGAAGATGTTGCAGAGACTGGAGGACAAGGTAGAGCTTTATAAGCTTCATGTGAAGCACTACCATATGAGTCCTACTCAGTTTCGTAGACGTGTTTCTATGTTGAAGCTTCCTGACTCTGTTTTAGAGAAGTATGAATCAGTTGTCAGGAACTGCTGTGTTTGTAACA